TTTTGGAAAATTCATTTAACCACGCTTGAGTTTAGATTCTTTAATTGCTTTATACCAAACTAATACATGTATGTACTTAGTTCTAACAAAAGGAACAACGACTGTTAAGGGGTGATCAAAAATGCTAAGTCAAGAAATAAAAACGAAGCAAGGAAAACAGAGACAAAAGCGAAGAACAGTGCGTAACTGGAAGGCAACACACAGAAAACTTAGAGTGAATTACTGTGAATTTAGCAATTATTGCAATGCTTTTATATTGCGCATAATGCAACGTAAGAATCTCAATAAATAAATTTGGCATTTGTATTTTGGTTACAACAGAGATTTATAATTCAGAGAATTAACTAATATGATATTTTCGAACAGGTCAAGATCATACACATTTCGGTGATTATGAGATATGCCAAAACATCCATGATCAAAAAACACTCCTTTTCTTAAAGTTACATATTCTAAAAAGAGACAAATGATATCTAAAAATTAGAATTGTGTTCTTGCCACTTTAAATATTTAGATTTAATGAAGATTTCTGTTGTTTCTTTAGATTTTTCCTAACCTATGACAACCTTTGTTTCCGATAACTAAAACCGAAATTTCCGATAACAAAGTGAACCATTCAACCGCATTTCCGATAACATCCTGAAAGTTAAAAAAGGGCTATTTTTACCCTTTGATCACATCTTTACGAGATTCTGACGATGTCATATTGTGGACAATAATTAATGTGAGGTAAATATAAGGATTCTGAAGAGAGGGGCTATATGCAGCAATGCCAATCGGCCAAAAACTTGCAAAATATAACAAATTTGACTTTTTAAAGTCTTCTCAAGACTTACAAATACTATAATAGGATATATTGGGGCTTTATTTTGGATCTGTATTCATTCTTGTTCACAAAAAGCACAATCAACAGTCTCTGTTTCTATTTTTATAGTGTTTATTTGCAACAATTTAATAACCTGTCAAAAGTTGTTATCCACCGAATGCCCGATAACAACCCAAAAGCCGATAACGCGTTGAGCAGTGTGTAGATGTCGACCTGAAGGCAACTTAAAAATTTGACTATCTCTTAAATCTTCATATACTTTTGCTCCCTTGCACCATAAGTTTAGACATAGTTTTAATGTAAACTTATCCCATCTCACAAGACTGGCATGGTTTAAATTGGAGCTTAGAATAGTGTGTTGAGTTTGTAAAAATTGTTTCATTTCAGTAGACGCATTAGGGAAAATATTCTCAAATATTCTCTGTACATCATTACTGGTCTGAACTATTTGTATAGAGTTACACATACTGTCATCAGCTGTGCCACCGTTCAACTGCTTATTGCAAGTTCTACATGATTCATTTACGGTACACCAAGTGTAGGCTTGACAACAGGTCCGACATCTTAGCCTACTATCTGATTTTCCATTCTCATTACCTCTTGTAACCAGATTCTCACAAATAGCTTTAGAAGGTAAATTGCTTTTTAGGTTCAAAATTCCCTTGCAGATATTTATTTTGGACACAATGTGAAGAATTTCATGTAAAGAGCCTGCTGTGCACTGTGCAGTCAAAATCATTGGAAATGTAAAGTTTTCCAAGTCAATTGATTTATTTCTGATTGATAGATTCCATATCTTCTTCTGAAAATCCAACGTCAATTCTTTCATCACAATGTTACCATTGATAACTATATCAAATGGCATTAATAAAGTAACAGTTGATAACATGCTGCTTAATATCATAAGTGAGGTTAAATGTTTCCCAACAGACCATGTCGTAACAATGGGTAAATCTTTCTCAGTTTTAAATTTTATGGCAACAAAATAATATTTTCTTCCCTTTTCATGTATAAGTCTTACTTGCTTGATGTCATATATTGAAAAGATTATTTTTGAGAAGACATTTTCAAATATAGGCTGTATGCCAGCATGAACACAGACTTCTTGATATGATGAAACTAAAGTGGAGACTTCTATTTTGGAATCACTAGCACTGCATATCTTGGAACATAACCTATAACACAAAATATAAAAAATATATTTGCTATATGTTGTCTGTTTTGTTTCATCTGTCATCAGTGTGCCAAGTCTGTTTATGTCAGAATGTTAGTTTGAATTTTTGCATTTGATTTTTTTTTTAGGTCACTTGAGTCACTCAGGTGACCTATTGCTATCTCTTTTCGTCCGTCGTCGTACGTCGTCCGTCGTGTGTTAACATTTTGAACACTTTCAGCTTCTTCTCTGAAACCGCTGAAACAATTTTAGCCAATTTTAGCATATGGCATCTATGTGTGAAGGGGAACAAAATTTGTGAATTTCATGGTCCCTCCCCTAGGGCCTGAGGGGTGGGGCTAAAACCACCAAAATTAATGCAATCTTTAAAAACCTTCTTCTTTACTCCTGGACATCAAGTAGTCAAAGTGTTGGCATGATTGTAATAAACATTGAGCCCTTTACCAAAATTGTGAAATCATGGCCCCAGGGTCAGGGGTTCTGGTACTAGGGCGGGGCTATATAAATCATATAGTGAAAATGCATTATTTCTTTGAAAATCTTCTTCTCTACTCCTAGGTATTATTGAAACAAATTAAATACATAGTTATGATAAGCAAGGGTGACTTTATTAAAATTGTGAAATTCATGGCCCCGGGGTCAGGGGTTCTGGTACTAGGGCGGTTATATAGATCATATAGTGAAAGTGCATTATTTCTTTGAAAATCTTCTTCTCTTCTCCTGAGTATTATTTAAACACATTAAAAACATAGTTATGATAAGTAAGGATGCCTCTTCCAAAATTGTGAAATTCATGGCCCTTGGATCTGGGGTTCTGGTGTTAGGGCGGGGCTCTTTTGATTATAAAGTGGAAATGTTTTAATTCTTTAAAAATCTCTGCACCTGGGTATTATTTAACAAACTAAGTACATTGTTATGATAAGCAAGGATGCTTCTTCCATAATTGCGAAATTCATGGCCCCACGGACAGTAGTTCTGGTGCTAGGGCGGGGCTATATAGATCCTATAGTGAAGGTGAATTATTTCTTTGAAAATCTTCTTCCCTGCCCCTGTGCATTACATAAACAAACTAAGTACATTGTTATAATACGCAAGGATGCCTCTTCCAAAATTGTGAATTTCATGACCACAGGGTTCAAGGGTTCTGGTGAGAGGGGGGAAGTGGGGGAGGGGGGCTTCTATTGATTATAAAGTGAAAAAGCAAAATTTATTTGAAAATATTCTTTTCTGCTTCTGGTTAAAAAGCAAAGAAGCTAAGTGTATAGTTATGATGAGCAAGAGTGCTTCTTCCAGAGTAGTGAATTTCATGACCCCTGGGTCAGATGTGCTGGTGTAAGGGTGGGGCTCTTGATAATATAGTGAAAATGCATTAATTCTATTAAATAATCCTGTTTGCTCCTTAGTGTAAAGCAGATACACAAAGTGATTAGTTATGATGAGCAAACCTATGGTCACAGGGTCAGGGGCTCTGGTGTTTCTTGGGGGGGGGGGGGGGCTCTATTGATAATATAGTGAATCTGTAGTTAAATGCATTATTTCTTTAAAAAACTTCTCTGCACCTGGGCATATCTGAAGCAAACAGAGTAAAATTTTTATAAGGAAGGGTATTTTTACCTGATTTTTGAATATTTGGACCATTTAGTCAAGTGTTCTGGTCCTGGCCAGGGCTCTATTGATTTGCATTCTACTGAGAGGAGTTATTCCTCTTTGCCATTTACTTTTGATAATTAATCACTGTAAATAATGTACTTGAAAGGTAAATAAAATAAGAGAATTATGCAAGAGTTTTTATTGTATTATACAAAAAGTACTTTTATAGTTTTAATGATCAGGTAAACTTGTAAGTGTTAGAGAAATAAAATAACCTGTCTTATTATATGTTCATCAAAGACCAAGAGAGGCCAATGTAAGAAATTTCAACAAGAGATTAAAATAGTACAGAAGCATTGATAATTTGTTATACTGTATATTGATAGTGATAAATGGGAAACAGACTAGAGCCTAATTTATGAACTGTTAATGAATATTAAGAATAATTATTTTGTTAATCCTTATCATCCTATTTTTCTTGCTTTTGGGCAACAAAGCTTCACCTTTCAGTTCATTTTATACTCCTTGCATCCTTTAAATTGTTATATTATACTCAGGTGACTCTGAAGGCCCTTGGGCCACTTGTTCACTAGACAAGAATGTTGTCATCAAAATACAATTCACTTCATTGACTTTTACAGGAGAAAATAAAGCAGTATTGTGAACAGTACGTTGGGACTTTGTCGAATTTCTTTTTATAAAGAAGTAAGATGTGGCTTTTATACCTCTGTTATGCGTTTAAATGAATTTATGCTAGTCTATAATCGAACCTGCACAGCTTTACCTTCACATCAATTTTCATTTGAAACCCTATCAATTCAAACTGTCCTTGACTGCTTATATTTACAAATGGCCACTCTCGGGAGCATTTTTGTTTTTCAAACACATCTTGTTTTGTATGAAATTATTATGTTGAGGTTTTCCCCGATTTGTCATACGGCATACATGAGAAATAATGAAATATGAAGATAACGAACAATATATATCCAAACTAAAAGTCAATTCAAACAATGCAAATCAGGAGCAGAGCAAACACGGACATCTAAAACATCAGAGATGGGATCAGGTGCCAAAGAGGAGTGTATCCCCTGCCGACCGGTCACACCCGCCGTGTGCTCCTTGTCATTATCGGGAGAAACGGGAAAATCCGTAAACAATTCATTGTGTAAATAATGGCCTAACAATTAGTATGAAAAACATTAGTCAGCATGTTACTTAATGACAGATTGTATTTTTCATAAGTGAAATATAATTTTTGAAAAGGGGTTTTAACATGGGGGGGTTCCTGTCCACGAGTACCTGTGATTGAAAGTTGCAAATAAGGTGAAAGTTGAGGGTGTACAGGCTGGTTTCACAAAAATACACACTGTTAGAGATATTCAAATAAAAAATGAAGACGGAAAAGCTGACCTGAAATTCCACAACCTTGGTTGTTACAAAGGTCTGTACCATTACAGCATTGCTGGCACGTTATAATCCCTGAATCTGTTCCAAACATTGATCTTGCAGACAAACGGGATACATCTCTTTTAACAGGAACAGCGCAAGCCTAATGAAATATTATAAAGAGGAAACAAGGGACTTATGTACACTGATTAAGCGTAAATTTCACAGATAGGTTTATTTCCCTGAGAAACGTACAGTTTTGTTTTCATGAGTACATCCGGGTATTGCATATGTTGCAAGATTTCTTGTCCTAAATTACGTTCAAGTTCCACAAAATCTCGGTTTCTATGTCTACTGTTCACTTGTCAATAGTATGTTTTACTTTGATGAATGAATATTTTTTTTTACTTTGATAAATGAATTTTAAACAGATAAACTTACGCGTGTAGAAAGACAGCCAACATTGTATGTTACAATACCAGCTCTAGAAACAATCTGTTCTACACCACATTGCTGAAATAATACGAAAATTTAATTTTTGTGTTTGATGAGTGTGTGTGATTTTATGTCACCAGCTGACTCACTCAGGTGACCTATTGCTATCTTTTTTTTTTGTCCGTCGTCGTTCGTCGTCCGTCGGTCGTAATTTTTTGAACATTTTCAGCTTCTTCTCTGGAACCACTGAACCTATTTCAACCAATTTTGGCATATAACATATAAGGGTGAAGAGAAACGAAAATTCTAAAATTCATTGTCCCTGCCCCCCCCCCCCCCAGGTGAGTCTAAAACCACCAAAATTAATGCAATTTAAAAAAATCTTCTCAAGATGTCAAACTATTGGTATGATTGTAATAAACATTGAGTACTCTACCAAAATTGTGAAATTCATTGACCCAGGGTCAGGGGGTTCTGGTGCTATGGCGGGGCTCTTTTGAATATATAGTAAAAATGCATTATTTATTTAAAAATCTTCTACTTCTCTGTTCCTATGTATTAATCAAACAAACTAAAAACATAGTTATAATGAGCAAGGGTGTCTCTTCCAAAATTGTGAAACATGCGGATTGACATAAAGAAAATATATGTAGCAAAAGGGTCAATTGTACTTCGTATGAGTACACTGTAGTGCCCTGATTGACAATAATATTGATGAATTACTGTCAGATAAAATCATGGAGATAATAGATTATTTGGTTAAAGCCTTCATAACGTTTTTTTAAATATACTATATCAAAGTGACCAAGTGATCACAGGTTGACTAGGGGACGTGTTGTTGTTTTTGACAAAAGGCAAATGACCACATTTTATAGCCAAGTGTGAGTGCTGGTAACAAGTATTACCAAGGTTTTTGTATTCCCAAGATGTACCAAGTGATACCAAGTGGCAAACAGTTAAGTTGTTTGTTAAGCCAAGAGGCATCACCTCGAGTAAACATACAGGCATTAGAGATTTCTCTTTGTGTACTTCATTGTAGCACTAAGCAAGTATTAAAATCATACTAAATGATATTAAATACCTAATACACACAAGGCAAGTGTCACTAGTGTATGTATATTTTGCATTCATTATCATCTTTGTAAGACTTGGACAAACCAAGCACAATCCCAAGAAGGTCTAGCATGTTACAATACTATAGTAAGCAAGAGTATTTTTACCAGAGTTTTGAAATTTGGCAACACAGATTCATCAGTTAATTTTGCTTGTTACTGCAGTGTTGTATTATACTAGGGCTCTTGTTTACATAAGTCCTCTTGAGGACTCTTGTTGAATGAATCTGGCCAGCTTCTTAAAACAGAAGCAGAGACACACACCCATTATTGTTTTGTTTATTATTTTGAGTTTCCCTATTTATTTTAAAAGTAACATCAGTATATTATTATATTTGAACTTACATGCAAAGTCTCAATATTCAATGACATCGGCATTTTTCACAACCTAACACCAAATACCTGGTGTTTGTAAACAAAGGATGATTCTCTATAAGGTCATTTTCCGGCCTATGATAAAATCACTTGAAAATGAGATTTTATGTAACTTTAATCATTCTATTTTATTACTCTGATGTTTGTTTTTCAACATCGATCAACTTAGACACATGATTTAGAGATAACAAATGGTGGTCAAATAAAGAAAGATTGAGGGTAGGTATATTAATATCAGGTTTCTATCCATGTTTCAGAATGTAAATGATCAACAAGAGGCCCAAGGGCCTTAACGGTCACCTGAGTATTACACAGCAATTTAGAGGATCCATAGAGTATAAAATGAACTGAAAGGTGAAGCTTTGTTGCCCAAAAGCAAAAAAAAAAAAAAAAAAAAAAAAAAAAAAAAAAAAAAAAAAAATAGGGTGATCAGCATCAACAAAATAATTAGTCTAGTATTCATTAACAGTTCATAAATTAGGTTCTAATCTGTTCCCCATTTATCACTCTCACCATACAGTACATTAACAAACTATCAGTGCTTTTGTACTATTTTAATTCCTTGTTGAAATCTCTTACATTGGCCTCTCTTGGTCTTTGATGAACATTTAATAAGGTAAGCTATTTTTGTCTCATTTTTATTTATCTATTACTTACAAGTCTACCTGACCATTAAAACTATGAAAGTACTTTTTGTATTATACAATAAAAATTCTTGCACAATTCTCTTATTCTATTAACCTTTCAAGTATATTATTTACAGTGATTAATTATCAAAAGTAAATGGCAAAGGGTAATAACTCCTCTCAGTAGAATACCAATTAATAGAGCCCTGGCCAGGACCAGAACACTTGACCAAATGGTCCAGATGTTCAAAAATCTGGTAAAAATACCTTTCCTTATTAAAACTTACTCTTTTTGCCTCTGATATGCCCAGGTGCAGAGAAGATTTTTAAAGAAATAATGCATTATTACTACAGATTCACTATATTATCAATAGAGCCCCCCCCCTCCCACCGAGAAACACCAGAGCCACTCACCCTGGGACCAGAGGTTTGCTCATCATAAGTAATCACTTTGCTTATCTGCTTCACACTAAGGAGCCGACAGGATTATTTGATAGAATTAATGCATTTTCACTATATTATCAAGAGTCCCACCCTTACACCAGCACATCTGACCCAGGGGTCATGCAATTCTACTCTGGAAGAAGCACTCTTGCTTATCATAACTATATACTTAGCTTCTTTGCTTTTTAACCAGAAGCAGAAAAGAATATTTTCAAATAAATTTTGCTTTGTCACTATATAATCAATAGAGCCCCCCCTTTTTTTCACCAGAACCCCTGACCCTGGGGCCATGAATTTCATAATTTTGGTAAAGGGCTCAATGCTTATTACAATCATGCCAACAGTTTGACTGCTTGATGTCCAGGAGAAAAGAAGAAGATTTTTAAAGATTGCATTAATTTTGGTGGTTTTAGCCCCACCCCTCAGGCCCGAGCGGGGCAGGGCCCATGAAATTCACAAATTTTGTTCCCCTTCACACATAGACGCCATATGCTAAAATTGGCTGAAATTGGTACAACGGTTTCAGAGAAGAAGCTGAAAATGTTCAAATGTTAACGCACATCGCACGACGACGGACGAAAACAGATAGCAATAGGTCACCTGAGTGACTCAGGTGACCTAAAAATGGTTTACTTATTTCGAACACATATCAAACTAAAGTAATGAATAAAAAAAATTGTTTCATTAACGATTAAGATAATTTTTTATGACGTGAATTTTGATGCATTTACATTTAGCATATTTTCAATGCCAATCTTTACAAAATGCACATCGTATGATGTTGAAAAGTGTTTAATTATCATTTACCTTAAAGGTATTATTTCGTATTAGTTTTTTTGTTATTGTGCATTGTTTTTATAGATATGCTACCTATTTTACGCATTAAATGCGCATGTAAGAAATGTGGTCTCGAAGTATCTATTGAACTACCGTATCACAGTTGTGTTGTTGAAAACACTGAAGGATTTCTGTTTGTGATGAAATAAAAATCGAGTTGTTATTAATAAAAAAAAAGACTCTAAATTTACAACAAGAGGCCCAAGGGCTTTAACGGTCACCTGAGTATAATTCAACAATTTAGAGGATCCATAGAAAATAAAATGAACTGAAAAGTGAAGCTTTGTTGCCCAAAAGCAAGAAAAATAGGGAGATCAGGATCAACAAAATAATAAGTCTAGTGTTCATTAACAGTTCATAAATTAGGTTCTAATCTGTTCCCCATTTATAACTATCACCATACCGTATATTAAGAAATTATAAGTGATTCTGTACTATTTTAATTCCTTGATGAAATCTCATACATTGGACTCTCTTAGTCTTTGATGAACATTGAATAAAACAAGTTATTTTTGTCTCATTTTTATTTATCTATTACTTAGAAGTCTACCTGATCATTTAAACTATAAAAGTACTTTTTGTATTATGCAATAAAAATTTTTGCATAATTCTCCTATATTCCACTAACCTTTCAAGTACATTATTTACAGTGATTAATTATCAAAAGTAAATGGCAAAGGGGAATAACTCCTCTCGGTTGAATTCAAATTAATAGAGCCCTAGCCAAGACCAGAACACTTGACCAAATGGTCCAGATGTTCAAAAACCTGGTAAAAATACCTTTCCTTATTAAAACTTTTACCCTTTTTGCCTCTGATATGCCCAGGAGTAGAGAAGATTTTTTAAAAAATAATGCATTTTTACTACAGATTCACTATATTATCAATAGAACACCCCCCCCCCCAGCACCAGAACCCCTGACCTTTGGGCCATGAATTTCAAGATTTTGGTAGAGTCACCCTTGCTTATCATAACTATGTATTCAATTTGTTTCAATAATACCCAGGAGTAGAGAAGACGATTTTTCAAAGAAATAATGCACTTTCACTATATGATCTATATAGCCCCGCCCTAGCACAGAACCCCTGACTATGGGGCCATGAATTTATTAATTTTGGAAAAAGCATCCTTGTGCACCATTACTATGCACTTAGTTTGTTTAAATAATACCCAGGAGCAGAGAAGAACATTTTCAAAGAATTAATGCATTTTCACTATATAATCAATAGATCCCCGCACTAACATTAGAACCCTGACCCAGGGACCATGAATTTCACAATTCTGCAAAAGGCATCATTGTTTATCATAACTTTGCACTTAGTTTGTTTAAATAATACCCAGGAGAAGAGAAGAAGATTTTCAAAGAAATAATGCACTTTTACTATATAATCAATAGAGCCCTGCCCTACCACCAGAACCCCTGACCCAGGGGCCATGAAATTCACAATTTTGGAAAAGGCATCAATGCTTATCATAACCATGCATTTAGATTGTTTATTTAATATCCAGGAGCAGAGAAAAATTTTTCAAAGAAATAATGCATTTTCACTATATAATCAATAGAGCCCCACCCTTACACCAGAACACCTGACCCTGGGGCCATGAATTTCACAATTCTGGAAAAATCATCCTTTTGCACCATTATCATGCACTTAGTTTGTTTAAATAATACCCAGGAGAAGAGAAGAAGATTTTCAAAGAATTAATGCATTTTCACTATATAATCAATAGAGCCCCCCTTTTTTCACCAGAACCCTTGACCCTGGGACCATGAAATTCATAATTTTGGAAGAGGCATCCTTGGGTATCATAACAATGTACTTAGTTTGTTTAAATAATACCCAGGAGTAGAGAAGAAGATTTTCAAAGAAATAATGCACTTTCACTATATGATCTATATAGCCCCGCCCTAGCACCAGAACCCCTGACCCTGGGGCCATGAATTTCACAATTTTGGTAGAGGGCTTAATGCTTATTACAATCATGCCAACAGTTTGACTGCTTGATTATTTTTAAAGATTGCATCAATTTTGGTGGTTTTAGCCCCACACTGGGACCCCAGGGGGGCAGGGACCATGAAATTCACAGTTTTTGTTCCCCTGCACCCAAAGATGCTATATGCCAAAATTGGTTGAGTGATTCTAGAGAAGAAGTTGAAAATGTTCAAAAGTTAACGGACGACGCACGACGACGGGCAAAAACGGATAGCAATAGGTCAACTGAGTGACTCAGGTGACCTAAAAAGTAAAGAATCCATTAACGTACAGGACGAAAATATTAATGCAAGTGCATGTCAATTAATCATATGTGTAGTAGTATATAAAACTCAGAATGGTTGTATTAAAAATATATACTAGAACGTAAAATGAAATAACAACGTAACAAATGCTTTGATTTCATTTCATTTCGCATGCATAAAAACATATTTAATTAAAAATGCTATCTAAAATATAATACACGAAAGTCAAGTCCGGTCCCTGCCCTCATCTATCGACACTCCATAAAAACTGAGAGATTTTCAACAGCTCCTTCCACTATGCATATCAAAAGTTTTATTGTATCCATGGACTAACATCACAGGTACAAAATGGGCCTTAAGGGTTTGCCGCTCGCTTCGAACTCTTGAGGCCCTAGGGTTCAATTGTCGTTCCCAATGCCGCGTCAAAAATAAGGCATTTAACGCAGCTAGTGACTGTTCCTTTGCTAAGTCTTCTTTTTTAAAAGTAAAAGTCATGTGTCTTTTGGATATAAACTTTAAAAAGGAGGTCCCGTAATACGGAAAAATATCAATGTCCTTCTAAAGGGTTGAGGCGAAAATTCTCATTATGAAACCATCCAATCAGTAATTCCCTATCTATAAAAGTTACATGTGTTCCTATAGAAAAATAAGTTAATAACACAAATACCGTATAGCGGGTTTCTTTAGTGGATGTAAAATTTGGCGTTTTGCTTGCTCAAAGGTTGCCAATAATTTTGGTGGAACTTTTTTGGCGGAAACAGAGTTCCGTGACATTGCAAAAGAGAGGAAATTCATCTTTTAGATAAGTTTCAGTACGTTAAACATACGTTTGAATACCGATTTATACAAAAGTTTGAGTTAAAACACCAAATGAAAGTTATATTGCTTATACTATAGAGTAATCAAAGTTATTTAAGTGATTTTCTTTGTTTTCAGTAGTGATAAAGACGAGAGCAAATTTGGCGGTTAAAATTTTAGCGGATTCCTACAAAACCGCTTAAATAAGCCAAAGTTGGCACACCATGTTACAACGCGAAATGTAATAACGACGCAAAATGTAATAAACCAGGAATATTGCATTTTGCGTTATTACATTTTGGGTCGATATCAACGCAGAATGTAATAACACAAAATGTAAAAACAAACTTTTAAGGATTATTACATTTTGCGTTATTACATTTTGCGTCGAGATCAACGCAAAATGTAACTAGTGCTAATTGTAACGGGAACCGTTACAGATGTTCCCCAAACGGCTCCCCAATTCCTTATGATGCCCCATTCCCTACAAGCTTCAATAAATTAGACTATACTTTTGTAGTATAGATGGACACTTTATTTATAAGGGTATTTCATTGGAAAACTACTCCGATATAGCCATATGGGTATTAGCCAATCAAATTTCAGCGCATGTGCTTGCTTCTACATTTTTCACATTAATTTTCTTATAGTGTCTCACAATACATACATTTGTGTTAAATATTAAAGAATTTCATTGAAAAACAAGAGAGATGTAACCCTTTAAGTATTAGCCAATCAGAATTCAGCATACGCGCATGCATGGCCTTGCATTCAATTTTGATAGTATCATAATGTAGGAGCCCTATGAGCATATCCATGTCGTAAATTCCATCATGTTTTGTTGAAAACCAAATGAGTTATAGATATTTAAAGTCTCAGCCAATCAGATTGCAGCACACCTGCCTGCGCGTGGTTTCAAGAGATTTCCTATGTAACATGTTGTAGCACCTTATAATATATACTTATATTTTAAATTTCAAAGTATTTCGTCAAAAAACAAGGAAATTATTGAGATTTTTGTATCAGCCAATCAGAGGAGAGCGCACGTGCATGCGCGTGAGTTCATGCTAATTTGACCATGTCAACTTGTCTAGACTACTAATATATCTTTATATTTTGAGTTTCAAAGCAATTCATCAAGAAATATAAAAGTTACGGCTTTATCAAGTATATCAGTCATTTCACTCAATGCACGCGCGCGCACGTGCATGCATGTGCGCGCAAAATGACCTTCGTTCCGCACACCTACACAACATGCCTATTAACCCTAAAAAGGTTTCATGTCAATCGGATGAGAGGTTCTATGAGAACACTCCCGGACAAAAAAGTACCGGAGAAGAAAGTAGAAAAAAAGAATAATAATAATAATAATAATAATAAGAAACAGAGTAAAAACAATATGTTCCCAAACTTCGTTTGGGGAACATAATAACGCAAAATGTAATAACATGATTTTTGGATTATTACATTTTGCGTCGAGATTAAGCAAACTGCAACAACGCATAATGTAATAACACACTTTTAAGTCAGTCAGTTTGAGAATAATTTTTAATTGAATAGTGGATGAAGAAAATAAATGGATATGATAAAACGAAAGGAAAAATAAACAAATGCTAATTCTTTCATTAGATCCGATTTCATCATATATTGATTTAATTAGCCGTTTAAAATCAGTTGATATACAATTCATAGGTATTGCAAATTAGAAACGCGCGTGCTCATGTATGTGTGTGTGTGTATGTGGGGGGGGGGGGGGGGGGGTTATTTCGTTGATTAGTGTATCAGTTTGCTTTTGCTTTTTGATAAGCAAATGCCTGCAATTTAGAAAAGAAATCTATTTATTTTTACTGGGAGGTGTAAATATAACGGGTAGGGGTTTTTTTGACAATTAAGATTTTATACTGTTTTACTGCATTACAGGCCAACAAGGATAAAATTCTCTCTCTCTCTCTTTCTTTCTCTCTCTCCATCAATAAAATGGATAGTTTCTGCATGTGCATAAAAATACAATAATCAACATACAAGTAACCCCTACCCCCCGCTTCTCCACGCTAGACACACAAACATGCACGTCTAATTTGCTAATCAATGTACACATGCATGTCGTACATGCATATCAAGAGTTTTTAATGGACCCATGGTCAATTTTTGGTCAACCTTTGGTATTTAAGAATGTCAGTGATAGATATATAATACAGACTGATTTATGAATAGACATGTCAATCAAAGTGTAGTTAAGGTTTTATAAGTATTCAATAAAAATGTTACAAACAGCGTAAAAAATAAAAAATTAGATTTAGTTATGTCCGTAAAAGCCGTAATGTAAAACTTTGTCACATGGTCATAGATATGTCTGTCTATTTAGTGAAGCGAGTTTCCCCATTGTTATATGTTTCAATCAATTTTGTGATGTTTCGCGTTGAACACAATATCAAAAAAAAAAAATTGTTTTATTACATTTTGTTTTATTACATTTTGCGTTGCCCTCAACGCAAAAATTAAGAAACGCAAAATATAACAACCAAAAAGTGCATTATTACATTTCGCGTTAATCCCAATGCAAAATGTAATAACGCAAAATGTAATAACGCAAAATATAATAATCCCAGTTTATTACATTTTGCGTTGTTTATTACATTTTGCGTAGTAACAACGCCACTAAAAATACCCGCTATACGGTAGCAAATGTATCTTCCCACCACAACAAATATACCTATTTTACCATTTCAAGTACTAACAGATATGCGGTACCCTAAGAAATAAATACAAAAATGTAGCAAAAATAGACTAAACTATAATAATAATAATAACTAGAAACTCATTGCGAGCAATGAGAGGTCTTCCGTTCGATTCTGAAAATAAAGACGAAAATTCAAGCTGAAAAAGTGATAAAAGAAATTTAGACAATCTGGAGATTTAAACCTGGTCGTCAGCGTGAAAATCCAACGTGCTAAGCATTAACCATTCACTTTTGTACATCACTTCCTGTCACAACCAGAAGTAACGGCGATACAAGATTTTCTCACGATTCATATAAACTGATGACTGACTATCAGTACTGAAACTTTTAGACTTCATTCGTTTACTATTGCCGAGCAATATTGTGAGAACATTGATCCTTATTGTAGTTTCCTTCAACAAGACGCTCGGCTATTTCCGTAAACTCCGACCTGCCAATCGGCAATCCTCAGCTGACTCCGCTACCTCCATACAAACCTCGGGTGTGATTGGTGGAGGAATATGTATCAAATCAATTACATTTCTCCGCCGAAAACTGTCTTGTAACTCATTTCATATTTCGCTCTGCATAAAGTTCTTCAAAAAGTTTTTTCTCTTGTCTAATTCTTTCTTTTATATTTGTTTTGATTACAACATCATGTAAGTAGTCTTTAAAAGCAAAAACATAATGTTGGGCGTGCCACAAAGTAGCCCAGATTTCAAAGGTATACATTTTGAGGAATTTTAAAGAAGATCACATGACTGTATCAGCAACATGGTAGAACACCGTTGACGTCCGAGGTTAGTGTGCGAGGTACGAGCCACCCGAGGAGCTCCGAGTGCCGACCTGCTCGTCGGAGTGTACGGTGACAGCCGCCATTTTGGAGCCGCTTCAAATTTTAAAATGCGAATATCTAGAGTTTGAATTTATCTATTTGAAAACAAATTATATATTAAGCATTTTCAGAAGGGCCTTTGTTAACACTACTACTATCAAAGAAAAATATTGAAAATTAAAAAAGTTTAAAAATTCAATTTTTTAAATTTGCTTCCGGTAACGACCGGAGGTACTGACGACGAACGAAAGGTCACGTACCGGCTTGTATTTATCACGACCTATAATCCCTGAAAGTTTCACATTGATATCTTTTACCGTTCTTGAGATTATCCGCGGACAAAATGTCATTTTAAATTCAGAAAATGGTCCGTAACTTGGCACCAAAAGTGAATTTCCAAATTTTTCTCTCAGGTAGATCAAGTTCATGTTACGGCACATCTTTCCTGAAATTTTCATGTAAATCCATCCAATAGTCTTTGAGAAATCGCGTGCACAAAATTAGAAAGTAAAAAAAATAATAAAAAATAATAATAATAATAACTAGAAACTCATTGCGAGCAATGAGAGGTCTTCCGTCCGATTCTGAAAATTAAAACGAAAATGCAAGCTGAAAAAGTTATAAAAGAAATTCAGACATTCTGGAGATTTAACCCTAGTCGTCAGCGTGAAAATCCAACGTGCTAATCATTAACCATTCACTTTATTAAATCACTTCCTGTCACGACCGGAAGTAACGGCAATACAAGATTTTCTCACGATTCAAATAAACTGATGACTGACTATCAGTCCTGAAAGTTTTAGTCTTCAGTCGTTTACTGTTGCCGAGCAATATTGTGAGAACAAATTCTAATTTTGAGGACAAATAAAGACGCGACCGGAAGTGAATTTTATAAAAATCTCTTACTTTTCTCTAGACATTTGCAGTATCTAAAACAGACATGAAATCATTTCAGGTATTTATCGATAAGCAATATTTATGAGAAGTTAGATATCAATATAACGTTGTTTATCTCCTAAACAGGAAGTTGAGGTTTTTGTTTCCGGTGGAATCTAACATATTTCAAAACAGCGAAAGAGATGCAATACTGTGATGCAAGTTTTAATTTAAGCAAGAAAAGTTTAAATTTTTTATTTCTTTGATCACTTCCTGTGACAAGCGGAAGTGACGACTGACGCGTTGAACCCAAATGGTTTTGCCTGCTCCTCATGGTCAATTACTCATACAAGTTTTGGTGTTTTAATCTTTTCCCTGTTTTTGAGATCTCTCTCAGACAACTTCTCATTTTGAGGACAGGAAAACACGCGACCGGAAGTGAATTTTTGAAAGATATTTAAGGATACTCTAGACATTTGCAGTCTGAATAACATATTTAAAATTCATTTCAAATACTTTTTCACAAAATTTATTAATGGGAAAGAAAAATACTCAAATTGTGTAGTTTTTCTCTTATAACCGGAAGTTGACGTTTTTATTTCCGGTGGGACCAACATCTTTCGAATCTGCGAAAAAGATGCAATAACGTTATGCAATTTTTAATTAAAAAAAGGAAAGTTGAATTTTTCGATTTCTTTGATGACTTTCGGCGACGACCGGAAGTAACGACTGACGCTCTGAACCCAAATGATTTTGCCTACATCTAAAGGTCTGTTGCTTATATAAGTTTGGTGTCTTAATCTCTTACCGTTTCCAAGATCTTGCTCACGCAACTTCTCATTTTGAGGACAGGAAAACACGCGACCGGAAGTGAATTTTACAAAGATATTTGACGTTACTCTAGACATTTGCAGTCTGAATAACATATTTAAAATTCATTTCAAATACTTTATCTACAAAAGATATTAATGGGAAAGAAAAAATACTCAAATTATGTCGTTTTTCTCTTATAACCGGAAGTTGACGTTTTTGTTTCCGGTGAGACCAACATATTTCGAAACTACAAAAGAAATGCAATAATGTGATGTAAGTATTGATTTAAAAAAGGAAAGTTGAAATTTTACGATTTCTTGAATCACTTCCGTAAGCGACCGGAAGTGCCGACGACGAACGAAAAGTAGCGACCCGGCTTGTACCTATCACGATCTATAATCCCTGAAAGTTTCACATTGATATCTTTTACCGTTCCTGAGATTATCCGCGGACAAAATGTCATTTTAAATTCAGAAAATGGTCCGTAACTTGGCACCGAAAGTCAATTTCCAAATTTTCTCTCAGACAGATCAAGTTCATGTTACGTCACATCTTTCCTGAAAATTTCATGTAAATCCATCCAATAGTCTTCGAGAAATCTCGTGCACAAAATTAGAAAGTCAAAAAATTAAGAAGAAGAAACAGTAGAATCACTATTGGTCTTCCGTTGAAAACGGTAGACCTAATAATAACTAGAAACCTTGTTGCCATGGCAACAAGAAGGTCTTCCGTCCCTTCTCTTTCTTCGGAGAAGTTGATTCCTCACTAAACAACATGTTATGTTGTGCTTTCCCTGTAACACCTTCATACAAAAAATAGTTCTTTTGGCATGCGCTCAGCACTTTGAAGTGAATTAGAGTTGTGGGTCTTTTGGATGAGACCTTAAAAACTGAGACCCCGTGTCACGGCAGGCGTTGGCACGATAAAGATCTCTCACTGCTCAATAACCCTGAGTGACGAGTAAAGGTCTAAATTTGAAGCCCTTCACTGGTATATGGTCATGTCTCTATATGAGTGTAAAATTCTCGAATGGGAAGTAAAACAACATACAATCAATCATACATAAAATATAATTAAACGTTTATATTTTGAAAATATTGCAAAACTGGAATGGAAAAAAATACGAGACATCATTTTAAGGAAGGGGGGGGGGGGGGCTATGTTCCAAAACATCTTTGTGTGAATTTTTTTGAACTTTGAGATTCTCACACTCAATTGTACAAAATATAAAATTATGATAAATAAGATTTTTTTTAAATTGAAGACCTATCTACACTGATTTGTTTTATTTGATTACCTGATTTCAGGCATTTCAGGTTAACCCCCCCCCCCCCCCCCCCCGAGTCAGCACCACACACGCATAGCAAAATGATAGACACTTTACTGATGTATTACGTGAAAGCATATTTTTTTCACATACTGTTTCGAGTATACAAATTTTTACGTGTTTTATTGTGTTAAAGATATACACGCTATAACTTGCGCCAGTTAAAAATAAAGATGGAAATTTATTCATTTTGTTTACCAAATAAAGTTACGAAAATATTGTAAATTACACAATTGGAAATGAACGCATTATAAAGATCTCAAATTATAATTATTTATTATCCTACTAGGACAGTAATGCCTCTATTTAAATTCATGCATCATGTGACACCGTCGCTACTTTTAGATTGATAAACAAAAATGGCGTCAAGAAAACGAGGTAGGCCGTTTGGTATACAAAATAACTTTTGACATGGATGGCATACGTTTTATGCTTAAAGATACTTATCTTTGAAAACAACCAGTATTAACCATCTACTCTGTAATGACAGATATTAACTTTTATTTAAAATCTTAGTCAAAATGCAACGTACAGTGTACCTCGTTGTCTATGATTTCCCGCGGACATGCGTGTCTATATACTGTTTACGCACTTCCTTCATCAATATTCATGAATAGGCTGAATTCTTAATTGCAGATCTTGCTTAATTGTTTTGTAATTACAGCGACTTATTTAGTAAAACTTTGTGGAAAGTAATTATTTTTTATTACACATCATGTTTTTCAAATCATTTAATCATTTTGTTTCACATAAAAAATCGCGTTTATATAGCGTGTATATCTTTAATACACTGTATACCATTAATTAACCATACCTTCATGCGCTAAGTCGCTTTGAGCTCTTAATTATGACGGATCTTGCTCTAAACTAAATGTCATTGAAGTTTTTTTCCCTCTCATTTGAAATTGTTATTTGTTATTCAATCAAGATGAGAAAATAATTAATTCTACTTTCAAAATATAATTTGACAAATCTCAAATTTGTGATTCAATTGCATAGGTACCTAGCTACATTTACATTTACCTTGTTTTGTCATATCACACACATATGCACATTAATTAGTGCAAAACTCAACTGCAAACTCTTCATGAAGGAGTAAAAAGACACAGTGCTATTGTGAAGTCAAACACCATTGCTCTGACGTTGAACAACATAGGCCCTCCTTTTTTTAAAGATAAAATATTACATTTGAGCCCAAACAACAGTGTGAAAAAATTCAAAAATTCTAGGGATTAAATATGAGTCGCCCGCGTGAAAATTCAACACGCTAACCATTACGCTATCAAAGACCATCGCATCAAAGTAGCAAGTAATGAATATCTAGAGTAAGCGTTAATGAATTTTTAAACAAATTACATATTTAGCATTCTGAGAAGACTCTCTCTTTAACCTATAAATATCTTTAAAAAATAATGAAAAACAAAAAAGTTAAAAAACCCCACCCTTTTTACATCACTTCCTGTGACGACCGGAAGTAGCGACGACACACGAAATGTTTCCATCACAATCTACAAATCACATTCTATCATACCTGAAAGTTTCAGACTCCTACCTTTAACAGTTTCTGAGAACATTTACGGACTAGATTTTTAGTGGAAAAATTGAAAAATCGTAATAATTCCTGACCGGAAGTAAATTTTTCCCAACTTTTTCAATATTTCAAAATGGCATGAGATAACACATCATTCCTGAAAATTTGGCTGAAAATCATTGAGTAGTTTTTGAGATATCGCGATTTGAAAAGGTAAAAAAAAAAAAAAGAAAAATAACTAGATACTCGTTGCGAGCAACGAGAGGTCTTCCGTCCGAATAACCATCCTTAACTGTGATATTCCTTGCACGTAAAATTACATTTATATCTGCTCGTTTTAAAGACACCTAAAAATTTAACATGGGTCTTTAAAAAAAGATTTTTTATTTATAAAAAAAATAAATAAATAAAAAGAGCACAGAATTCACAAAGAGGAAAAAAAGTTCAACATCATTGATAAAGATGAAAACGTAATTTTAAGCAAAAAATTCAGATAG